TGTATAAATTATGGTTTATATGTCAGCAGGCATATACTAAATCACCATACATTGCACAATATGAGCTAGTTAAAGTGATAATTTAGATTACTTGTCATTGCCTTCTCCAAAAACAGTCTATTCCCCCAAAACTTTGTGTGGCTCATGAACTTTTCATGGGTAAAAAGCTGAGCTTCCTATCTCTATCAGAGTTTTAGAGAAATGAAATAAAAATGGTCCTTTTTAGATGAGGCATCCATAGTATGAAACATGAAACATGTTTGCAATAATCTCTATCTTGCATCTCTCTATGGAGCCTCTCATTCTAAAAACTGGCTAAAGGACATTAGTTGCACCTCAGACTGTCAAATAACTTTCTATCAAAGAGGAAAGATAAGATATGACCTATCTTGAATTAGTTGTTTAAGTAGTGAACCTAAAACATAATCGGAACAAGTCACAAAATTCCAGAATCATTTTAAAATTCTGCTTCACTCTTTCATTCTTTCCTTCCCTTATATTAATATCAAATTAGATATAAAGTGTGGACCTGTACATTATCATGCACTTAGATAGAATAGAATAGAGCTGGAAGGGACCTTGGAAGTCTTCTAGTCCAGCCCCCTGCTCGAGTAGGAGAACCTATGCCATTTCAGACAGGTAGCTGTCCAGCCTCTTCTTAAAAACCTCCAGTGATGGAGCACCCATGATTTCCGAAGGCAAGTTGTTCCACTGGTTAATTGTCCTCACTGTTAGGAAATTTCTCCTTAATTCCAGGTTGCTTCCCTCTTTGGTCAGTTTTGCAATATTGATTATCCAAATTCTAAGCACAAATATTTAATAATAGTTATAGCAATTGGAAGAATGACTGAATGAAACTTGAATATGATTTTCTCCTCTCTATTATATAGTTCTCAACATCCTCTCTCTTTCATTCTCTTTCAAGTAGCTCCATCCATTTCTTCAAGGCATTTCTTTTAACAACTCAGCTGGGGAGAGAGTGTTCCTGAATGAGAAAGGGGAAGCAACAGGTGGATTCGACATCACCAATTTGATCACTTTTCCAAACAGATCCTTTCAGAGAGTTAGAGTTGGAAAGATGGATCTACAAGCTCCAAAAGGGAAGGAATTATCCATGGATAAAGATTTGATTGTCTGGAGTCTAGCTTTTAACCAGGTATAGAATTAATGAATCCACCATGCCTTAGTCAATTAGGATCTCATATTGAACATATTCTTTTTAAAAATCTAATTTCTGGGTTTTTTAAATAAACAATGGCATATTCCTTCAAATGTTGTTGATGATCAATGATTCATCAGATTGACAAAGGTGATATTACAATGTAAGAGTGGCCATGTTTCTATGAGATTGTCACCATGTGCAATTATTTACTCATCCTGCCCTTCAATAGAAACATTTGTACATCATTGTAATGTCTACAACTTTTTAAGTTGTTGAACAAGTTGTTAAATTCAGCATCCTTTTGGGAAGTCAATAATCATGTCACTCTATTAAGGAGAATATTCAGAATCTGTTTTAAAAACCCTTCTTTTCAAAACATTTTTGTTTATTATAAGGTTCTTCCATTTTCTCGATGCAATGACCCTTGTTTCCCTGGGGACGGGAAGAAAGGGATTGAAGGGGATCAGTTCTGCTGCTATGACTGTGTTCCATGCCCAGAAGGGAAGATTTCAAATCAAAATGGTATGGTAGGAATTCTACCAATTTTCATTAGACTTAAGCAAACTTGAATATACAAGTTTAGGATGCATACAATTAATAAAATGAGTTCCACTGATTTGGAATGCCTAAATGACAAATTTCTTGAATTTCCTCCCAGATATGGATGACTGTTTTAAATGTCCAGAAGATCATTATTCAAATGAAGATAAGAATGGATGTATCCTGAAACCAGTGGTGTTTCTAACTATTGAAGAATCCTTAGGAATTGGTTTAGCCTTATCAGCTCTTGGTTTCTTCTTCTTGACATCTTGGGTACTTGGAACTTTTATTAAGCACAGGGACACTCCCATTGTTAAAGCCAACAATCGGTCTCTCACCTACACCCTCCTTATCTCTCTTCAGCTCTGTTTTCTCTCCTCTTTCTTCTTCCTCAGCCAACCTAGTAAAGTGACCTGCCTTCTCCGGCAATCAACTTTTGGAATCACATTCTCAGTGTCCATTTCTAGTGTGCTGGCCAAAACCATCATTGTGGTTGTTGCTTTCATGGCCACTAAACCGGGATCTCAGATGAGGAGATGGGTAGGGAAAAGATTGGCTTTTTCTACTGTCCTTTCCTGCTCCTTTTTCCAAGTATGTATTTGTATTCTTTGGTTGTCAACATTTCCCCCATTCCCTGAGTTGGACATGCACTCACAGCTCCAAGAAATGATTTTACAATGCAATGAGGGGTCAGCTTTCTTCTTTTATTGTGTGTTGGGCTACATGGGTGTCTTGACTATTGCCAGCTTTATTGTGGCTTTTCTTGCCCGTAAATTACCTGACACCTTTAATGAAGCCAAATTCATCACCTTCAGCATGTTTGCCTTTTGCAGTGTGTGGATCTCCTTCTTTCCAGCCTATCTGAGCACAAAAGGAAAAGCCATGGTAGCTGTGGAGGTCTTTTCCATTTTGTCCTCCAGTGCTGCATTACTGGGATGCATATTCTTGCCAAAATGCTACATCATTGTTTTCCGGCCTGAACTAAACCAAAGGGAGCATCTCACAAAGAGAAATTAGTATAACATGTGATCTTTCTGGCCCAGAGAAGTTAGTGACAAGAAAGAATAGAAAGACTGTTTGCTGTCTAGAGAAAATATATAGAAGTTTTATTTTTGTCAAAGGAGAATCTGTTAAGGATTAGTCTTTGTAGCAAGATTTATTATAGTTGCCCCAAAGAAATGTTTGGAGTGCTGCATTTTCAACTATTTTCCAAGATGGTAGAATATAATGCTTTGTCTCTTTCAACACTCTACTTCAAGAGACTTTGAAAAAAATTGATTTCTCATGAATTGTTAGGACTTTTCAGGTGTTGACTCAAAGCTTGTCCAATGTTTGACATGCTACTGTCATGATGTTTATACTTTCTATTTATAAACCACTGCATAAATATACTAAGTTTCTGAATGCTGTACATTTCACCTTGTTTTTAAAATGTCATGTTGAATCATTACTATTCACTCTTTTATATAAACATAGGTCCACTGTAATTGATTATCAGATTGTAATAATATGAAAATCTATTGAAAAAAATGAAATGTATTCTTGCTTCTTCGTCAACCTTTATTCAAAGTGTATGCTGCCCAATATCTATAATGAAGAGTGGTTTTATTTATGTAGGAGAAGAGTGGTAGAACCAGAGGGATGAATGAAAAGAGGGATCAATTACATAGCCATAAGTGCAACCACCCCTTGAATGCCATTGATCCTTATATCATTTTAACCATACGCTGACCATTCATGGAGTAGATTTCTCTGCATAGATTTTAACCAATAAATCAGTTTACTTGAACCTTCATGTGTGGACTTGTGTTTTTTTTTTTTGTGTCTGACATTAATCTCCACTCCCAAACATTTTTACTGAGGAGCAATGGAAACCATCAGCATGGTATCTATAACCAGAAGCAGTAGCTGACCACTAAACAGTGGACACTGTGCTGCACAATGTGTGCAATTTGATAGTACTCCAACAATACAGCAGATGCAGAATTTGTTGCAACCAGCTCATCGACATCTCTGACACCAACAGCAGCCTCAGTACTACAATCCATGTTACAGAGGACTCATGGAAGCTTACCAGAAAGAGTCAGAGGAGAATCAGAATGGATGAGGACCTTCAAAGCACAAGACCTAGTTCAAAGGTGGGCTAAAACACCCACTAAAAGACAATACCCCCTGTCAATTAAGGCATGTCCCAGGATCAAGGTGCAGGAACCTCTCAACCCATTTTCATGGAGCCACATCAGATTCTGTATTCCCAGTTTCAGTGGAGAGAGGGTCGTTGTAGCATATGGACATAATATTAGTATCCCCCATTTTTGAGAGAGGAAGTTTTTCAGCTTTGCCATGATAACCAGAGAATGGGGAATGTTCAAGATGTTGCATAGAACATTAGGAGGCTTGGGGACCTAAAATGGCAGCAGACATCAAGGGCTATGTACCATCCAGCCACACCTACTAAATCCCATCATCAGAAACCAACAGGACTGTTACAATCCCTCCATATTCCCTCCATTCTTTGCATGTGGTCTCTCTTGATTTCATCACTGATTTACCTGCAATCCATGGCTATATATCCCTGCTGGGTGGTTCTTTCTATCACTTTATCCCTTACAAAGATTTGTCCACAGCCAACAAAACAGCTCAGCTTTTTTAAGACTATCTCTTTCTATAGAGGCATGGTATCCAGATTAATGTCTGACAGGGCAGTCAATTTGCTTCCAACTTGGCTATCATGGCTATCAGAGAAAAGAAAAACAGCAAGAATTTTGCAGTGTATTTTTAAATGAATCTCCTGTAATTTGACACGTACACATTTTTAAAAAAAAGTAAAGATCCAATAGGAGGACTCTGCTTTTAAAGGGGAGTATTTCATCATGATATTTGCATAAATCCAAGAAGCTCTTGGAATGCAAAAGTCAGGGGAGAACCTGTATTATTTTAGAGAATCCTTCCTTCCTTCCTTCCTTCCCTCCCTCCTTCCTTCCTTCCCTCCCTCTTTCCTTCCTTCCTTCCTTCCTTCCTTCCTTCCTTCCTTCCTTCCTTCCTTCCTTCCTTCCTTCCTTCCTTCCTTCCTTCCTTCCTTCCTTCCTTCCTCCCTGACAGCTGACAACCCAGTCCTAATGCCTGTGGAGGAAAATAAGTTTTCATAGTGTTATTTTGCCCCATCCGGATCATTGGGGAAATTCTCAATACTCATGATCAATCAATATATATCAAAATAAATCAATATATTCAATATAAATTGCTTGGAAGTTGACCTTTTGAGTCCATAAACATACCTTGTGAGAAAAGTACATGCCACAGAAGACTGATTCCTTCCCCTATTGGACTTCCTCTCTGGATTTTGTTGTTTCATTGGCACTTAGCTACTCAGAAAATATACCTAATGTAGGGAGCCAGATGAAAAGTTGCTCTTCCTGACATGTTGCTCTCTTGCACATGACACATGATTGGCTTCCTACATATTGCAGAATTAATTGCATGTCTATGTAACAATGCCTTGAATGTACTACTGGCAACACAGAAATTGCCTTTAATACAGAAAATTAAACCGAGGGACAAAGATTTCAAAGGAAAGATCTTACAAAGATGCATCAGGAAGTATTATGGATGTGAGGGGTCCTTGGTGTTATCTGAGCTTGCTTGTTTTCTTGCAGATATTTCATTACCCAAACTAGAAGCTACAACTGATGATGTTACCTTGTTTGGTAATGAAATGTCTGCAAGAAAAGAGGTAAGGCTACAAATATTCTTCTTTATTAGTATTATGAATGGTTTCTAGAACTGTTCTTAACTGCTGTAACCAGTTCAACCTCTTGGCCACTAAAGCTCATCAAGATGTTCCCTCTTCCACTGTTTCCATAAATTGCTTCAGCTCTAATTTATCATCTTCTCTAGCCTTAAGTATAGAGAGTCTTGTTCTGTATTTGTTTTTCTGGTGTGCAACTCTTTGGTGCCCTCCAGAGGAAACCTCTTCCAAATTTAAGCACAGAGACAGGATTCTCCCCCTGTGAATTTCTCACACAATATATAAGATCTCTGACTTCTACCGTTAAGATGATGATCTGAAGACATAAGATAGAAATAAATGTTAGGCTCCATTGCCTTTTTGGTGGGACTCAGAAGAATGCCTTTTCCCTTTGGAACATCATTCCTGTGGAGTTTAGATTGGCTCCTACTTTGATACTCTTTGGCAGGGCCCTGATGACCTGGTTATGCCAGGTTATGACCTGGAAGCCAAAATGGGATGGAGCACATGAAGTGGCTTATCTGATTGATTGTTACCACCAGGAGTGTGGGGGTTATTATTTTTATTGTTTGTATATTGGATTTTTATTTTTTTTTAACAGCCCAGAGATACTGACAGTGAGTGGGCAGCTAAACAAACAAACAAACAAATAAATAAATATTACAATGGTATATAATAAGGTTTTATACAATGATGTTCTTTAAACTTCAATCTATAAAACTGATAAACTATGGGGGACATCATGCTACCAAGTGGAAGCATCACTTGTACAGAAGTCCAAAGTAACTAGTTCCTGTCTGAATTAGGTTTGCGCTTTCATTATCGTTTGGATGATTTGATCTATCTATCTATCTATCTATCTATCTATCTATCTATCTATCTATCTATCTATCTATCTATCTATCTATCTATCTATCTATCTATCTACCTACCTACCTACCTATCATCTAGATAGATAGATAGATAGATAGATATATCTAATCTATCTATATATCTACCTACATGCTTACCTACATATCTACCTATCTATCATCATGTGAGGTATTAATACCACTCAGTAAAGCCTTAGTAGGTGACACCTAGAATACTGCATCCAGTTTTGGTCACCACACTATAAAAAAAGATGTTGAGATTCTAGAAAGAGTGCAGAGAAGAGCAACTAAGATGATTAGTGGCCTAGAGGCTAAAACATATGAAGAACAGTTGCAAGAACTGGGCATGGCTAGTCTAGTGAAGAGAAGGGCCATGGATGACATGATAACAGTGTTCTAATATTTGAAGGGCTGTCCAAGAGAGTAGGGGGGTCAACCTATTTTCCAAACCACCCAAAAGCCAGACAAGGAAAAATGGATGGAAATTGATCAAGAGAGATTCAACTAGAAATAAGGGAAAAATTTCTGACAGTGAGAACAATCAACCAATGGAACAGTTTGCCTTCAGAAGTTGTAGATGCTTCATCACTGGAAGCTTTCAAGAAGAGATTGGACAGCCACTTGCCAGAAATGGTATAGGATCTCCTGCTTGAGCAGGGGGTTGGACTAAATGACCTACAAGGTCCCTTCCAACTCTCTTATTCTGAATCTCCATCTAGTGGAACACTCTAACTTTTTCTCCAGGTATTTTCATCTTTGTAGTCTCTCCCTCTGTCAGAGAAGATTGTATATTTTTTCTAGGATTTGGGCTGAATTTCATATTTAATTTTCTTGAAAAATGTCAGACTTCTTATTTTAAACCAAACCAAATCATTCTTTATTATGTTTATTGGTAAGCATACACTTTGAAAAAAAGGATGAGACAGAAGGAAGAATACATTTCATATCATTTCAATAAATGTCCCATATCATTAACACCTGATAACAGATTGCAGTGGAAATATAAATTAATGGAAAGAGACTGTATGGTTATTACCCAGTATGAAGGAGTTTTTAAAAATGCTTTTAAATGTACAGTACAAGTACATTTCAAAGAACCCTAACAAATCTTAAACTGATATACTATATTAAATATATACCCATCAAATGTTAATTAGCATTTTACTATATTTATGTAATGCTTTATGAATCAAAAGTATAAAATCCATGAAAATGTCTCTGCAAACATTGGATATAGTTTAAGACAATATCTGAAATACCCTAATAGCAACCAGGAAAGCTACATTATGAAAGTCTAGTTCAACAGCTGTGTTGAAAAATCTTGCAAACTAGTGAAATTGCAGCAAAATGAACACTTATTCTGGAATGAGCAGTAAGTCTTAATAATCAAAAATATT